TTTATTATTTATTTTATGTGTATGAGTGTATTGCATGCATGTGTTTAAGTGCACACATGTCATGCAATGCCCGTGCAGGTCAGAAGAAGACGTCAGATTCCCTGGAACTAGAGTTACAGATGGTTGTTAGCTGCCATGTGGATGCTGGGAATTGAAACGAGGTCCTCTGCAAGAGCAGATAGTGCTCTTAACCCCTGAGCTATCTATCTCTCCAGCCTCAGATTTATAATTTTTGTTGTAAAGATCTTTAACATCTTTGGTTAGATTTGTTCCTAGATATTTTTTTTGAGGCTATTAAGAATGGGTTTGTTTCTGTGATCTCTTTCTCTGAATGCATGTTATTGCATGTTAAAAAGGGTAGTGATTTTTGTAAATCTATTTTGTATCCTGCCATGGTGCTGAAAGTTTTGATCATTTCTAGAAGTTTTCTGGTGGAATTTTGGGGATATCTCATGTATAATATCATATAATCTGTAATTAGGGGTAATTTGATTTTTCTCTAGTTGGTATCTTTTTGGTTCCCTTTATTATTATTCTGACTGTGGTTTCAAGCACTATATTGAAAAAGAGTGAGGGTAGTGGACAGCCTTATCTCATTTTTTTATTTTAATGGAATGCTTCGGGTTTTCCTCCATTTAGAATGACTTTGGCTGTGGGTTTGTAATATATGGCTTTAATTATGTTGAGGTATGTTTCCTCTAATTCAATTCCCTCTAGGAATTTTTCATGTAGGAAGGCATGTTGGCTTTTGTCAGAGGCCTTTTTTGCATCTATTGAGATGATCATATGATTTTTTAGACTTTATGTCCATTTGTATGATTTATTACATTGACTTACGTTTAACCATTTACTTTTTATTTTATTAACCATTTATTATTTTTATTTTATGTGTATGAGTGTATTGAGTGCATGTGTGTAAGTGTACCCATGTCATGCAATGCCTGAGGAAGTCAGAAGAAGGCACCAGATCCGCTGGAACTGGAGTTAACAGATGTTTGTTAGCCACTATGTGGGTGCTGGGAATCGAACCTGGGTCCTCTGCAAGAGCAGTCAGTGCTTTTAACTGCTGTGCCAACTTTCCAGCCCCTCAGGACTGCTTTTAAACTTCCCAAGAGGTTTTATTATGTTGGATTATCATTTTCTTTTAGTTCCAGGAATATTTTTACTTCTTGATTTTTTTTTCCTTTGACCCATTCATCATTCAGTAGTGTGTTGTTTAATCTTCCTAGGGCTTCTTTAGCTTTTGATTATGTTCTGATATATAATACATGGATTACATGTTCAATACAATTTTTGTATTTGTTGAGATTTGTTTTGTGCTCCAATATGTGATCTATTTTATAGAAACTTCCAAGAGCTGCCAAGTAGAATGTATATTCTTTGGTGCTTGGGTGGATTATTTTGTAGATGTCTGTAAAGTTCATATGATGTATGATATCATTTAATTCACATGTTTTTCTGTTTATTCTTTGTCCACTTGACCTGTCTATTGGAGACAGTGGGGGATTTAAGTCACCTACTGTTGTTGAGTTGGGGTTAATGTCAGTGTCTTGATGTCCAGTAGTACTCATTTTATGAAATTGGATATACCAGAATTTGGTGCATTTATGTTTATGATTATAATGTCTTCTTAATATATTGTTTCTTGATTGGAATGAAGTGACCATATTTATCTCTTTTTATTAATTTTAGTTTTATATTTATTTTTTTCTGACATTAGGATAACAATTCCTGCTTGTTTCTGCATGCGATTTTCTTAGAATATTTTTTTCCCATCCTTTCTACTCTAAGGTAGTGCCTGTTCTTGAAGGTAAGATGAGTTTCTTATAGACAAAAAAATGGCTTTTTTTTCTTAATCCATTGAAACTAGCCTGTGACATTTGATTGGGGATATAAGGCCATTGATGTTTAAAGTTATTATTGAAAGATGTGTATTGGTTACTGTCATTTTATTTTTTGTATTCTTAGTCCTATTTTGTTTTTTATAATTATAATTTCACTTTTTTCTTTAGTATCTTGCATACGTTTATTCCTTTCTTCAGCCCATTGTATTGCTTTAAGTATTCTCTGTAGGACTGGTTTGGTGGACATGAATTCTTTATATAATGGAACATTTTTCTTTCTCCTTCGACTGTGGTAGACTGTATGAAGAAGTCTGGGTTGACACTTGTGGTAATTTTGAGCTTTGAATACCTTGCTCTAGGCTTTTCTGTCCTTTAAAGTTTGTATTTAAAAGTCAGCTGTTACTCTGCTGATTTTCCTGTAACTTACTGTTTCCTGTAACTTACTCTTGTAGCTTTCAATGCCCTCTCTTTGTTCTGCCCGTTTAGTGTTTTTACTACGATATGCCATGGGAAGTTTCTTTTCTGGTGTTCTGTGGGCTTCTTGTATCTATATTTGTATGTCTTCCCTTAATTTAGGGAACTCTCCTTGATAATCCTGCTTTCTGTTCATTTTACTTTGTGACAGGTTTTCTCTGTAGACTCAGCTGGCCTGTAACGAGCTTTGTGTTCCAGGTTGGCCTCAGTCTCATAAAGCTCTGCCTCTAGATTGCTGGGATTAAAGGCATGCAACATCATACCAGGCTCCTCAGTAATCTGGTTGAAGATCTCGTCAGTGCCATTGACCCGACGTCCTCTTTCTCTATGTCTGTAATTCACAGATTTGGTCTTTTCATGGTTTCCTACAGCTCCTTTGTTAAAAAAAAATTCCTTTTATTTTCTTTCATGTTCTGGTTCTCCAACTTTATCACGTCTTGATATTTTGTTGTCCATTTGACTCATTCTGCTGCTGAAACTTTCTCCTGTCTTTTATAATTGGCTTACTGAGTTTTTCAATTTTGTATTCATCTCAGCTTGGGTTTTCTTTAGTATTTCTATATCTTTCATGAATTCACTTTTCAGATCCTGAGTTTTCTTTGTCATTTAATTCATTAATATATTTGTATTTTCTTGAGCTTTTGTCAGGAGTTTTTTCCTATCCTCTTTGAGTTTCTTGAGTTGTTTGTTTATGTGTTCTTTAAGTCCTTGAATTCTTTAATTGTGTTTATGATTTTTCTTGTAAGTTCTGGGTCCTGGGATTCCTATGGGTACTTCCCACTGTAGAACACTTGTGCAGACCTGGTAGGATTAGGCAGGAACATATTATCTTTTTTTCTTATTATTTGTGATTTTGTGTTGTGACCTAGGCATACAGGCTTCGTTCATTTTATTGTTGTTTAGTGGAAGTGTGGCTTTGTTTTTATTGTTGTTGCAGCTTGATTGATTTCTGGTCAGGTATAGATAGTTGGTCTGTGCTTCAAGTTTCCACTTTTGATTTTTTTTTAATTGGAGGAATGGGATAATTCTGGTCTGGTCTGGTGTGCCAGGTGACTAATCACAACTAGAACTTTGAGCCTGGAGCGTCTAAAAGAGTGACTGGGTTCTAGCTAGCTCACCAGGGTGAAGGAGAAGCACTTTCTTCCCTAGTCCTAGAGAGGGAAGTGCTGAGTGATTGGGCAGGTTCTAAGAAACTCACTAGGGTCTCTGTTCCTTCCTTTTAGTTGATTTTGTTTTTGCTTTTTCTACTTTTCAGTTTCCTAAATGGAAGATTCTATTGTAATCTGTATCTTCATTTTATTAAAATTATTTATTATTTTTATATATGTGTATGATGTGTGGAGGGCATATGTGTTCAGTGCACATGTGGAGCTCAGTGGTCAAGTTTGTGGAGTTGGTGCCCTCCTTCCACCCTTACACATGTTCTAGAAATCAAGCTCACATTTCCTGACTTGTTTGGTCATCACCTTTACCTGCTAAGACATCTTGGTGGCCCCACGTTTTCTTAATAATTATGATCAATTCTATGAACAACATAAATATTGCTATAAATTTCTCTATTCATTTCATGACAAATTTTGGTAAATTTAGTTTCACTTTAATTTACTTAAAAGTAGTAAAATTTTCTTGATACTTTGTATACTATGCATTAGTATGTTGCTTAATATTCAATTTTTGGGCCATGTCTAATTTTCTGCTACAGAGTTTTAATATTTTTTGTGATCTGAGTACATCTACTGTATGATTTTTATTCTTTAAAATGTCAAGATGTTTCTTAAGGCTCCGTTGTGGTTTCCTTTGATGAGTGTTTCATGTAAACTTGAGAAGAATGTGTGTTCTGCTGTTGCTGCATGGCATTATCTCTGAACATCACTTACTTACATTGATTGAAAGCTGCCTTTCAGTTTGCCTCTGCCTTGCTTGATATCATGCCCTCTCGGTTTCTTCAGTGATGCTAGAGTGGGGTAGGTTTGCTCTTTACCCTTGCAGTTCTATTAGTTGTCTTCCTCAGTATCCTTTGGGTACATGTGCAAGTGTTTGCACTCAGATGTATGTGTGCATGTAGAGTCCAGAGATTGATGTTGGGTGTCTTCCTTTGTCATTCTCCAAATATTTTTTCACTTTCCCACTGAACTTGAACCTTAGTGTTTTAGCTGAACTGGCTGTCCAGGATCTACCATTCTCCATACACTCATACTGGGGTTGCAGATATGCACCACCACTCTCCAGCCCTGACTATTACATGGGTAGTGGGGTTCTACACTCAGTTCTTTACTTTTACCAGCTCTTCAAATACCTCTACTGTTTGTTGTCCATCACACAAATTATAAGGATTCTTAATATTTTGTGAAGAATTGATCCTTCTGCCATTATAAGGCACCCTTATTATTGCTAATGACTTTATCCTCATTTCGATTTTACAGAAATTAATATTGCTATTCCAGCTTTCCTTTTTACTCATGTTAGTGTAGCATGTTTTTCTCCATTTGTTTACTTGTACCCTATGCATGTCTTTGTATTTGATGTAAGTTTCTTATGGACAACTTATACGGTAGTCTTTCTTCAGAGAAATCTGATGTTCCTCTTATTAGAAATACTTTCTATATTACAGATTACTTTTCCTTGATCCCTTCTAGATTTCTTTTGTGTTTCATTTCTGATGTTTTAATTAGAAAACTGAAATGCTACAGTTTTAATTTATCCTTACAGTTGAAAGTAATGATAAATTGGCAAAACTAAGACTATTTTTTTGACTGTAAGGTAGAAGACTTCTGAATAAACTAAGCAATATATGTCTGTTGTTTATAGATTTAGGGCTACAAGTAAGTTTTTTTTTCTATATATTTTGGTTAGCAGTGGGGAAGTACTAAATGTTTTTGGTAATGAGATTGATGCTATAATTTAGAAGGATTAATTCATAGAAATCCTTGAAGTCATCTTTTGTTTCTCATTCCCTCTTTTATGTGTCTTAATAGTACCCCAGGAATTTTTCTCAGTGATCGTGCAGAGATTCTTGTCTTTCCCACATTGCTAAATCTATGGGATTTTTCCCGATGTTCACTTATTTATCCCAGATACATAGGCTCATACTTTGCATAATGCTTCTCTTGTTTATTATCTGTTAAGTAAATGAGTGAATGCCTATAAACATGAGTATGTGTGTCATATCAAGTACCATGGCACTACCATGGTCCAATCTTATTCTTTTACCAATCCTGCTATCATAGTTTTTCTTTAACACTTTGTACATAAATATTGAGAATTGAGGTAAATAGTGATACCCAGTATATACTATCTGAACAGAGAGGTTGATAGAGATCTAAATGAATATATGGCACATTTGTAATATATATTCTATAATTGAAATAGTTCTCTTAATTTTTTTATGTGTTTAGCGATTTTTTAAATTTTTTTTGAGCATTCCATACATGGGTACTGTATTCAAATCATTTCCATCTCTCCCCTTTTCCTTCCAGCTTTTCCCACGTCTCCTCTCAAATTCATGACCTACAAATAATTTAGTAA